ACCCACTGTCTTTTTTCTGGAGGTAATATCTAGAGAAAAATAAATGATCCATGTAGACAAAATAAATTGTTTCATGTGGATTCATTAATAATTAATTAGGTTGGAGGAAACTCTATTTTTCTCAGCTCTAGTTGAAAGAAACACAAAATATATATGTAATAGCCAAATGAGGGATCCAGTTCGACAGTTGACTCTCACTAGGGGTCCATTGGATTGGTCATGTAGATTATACTATAGTTTGAATACCACCCAGATAAAATGATTACTTGTGCATTCAATGGGGAGGACCCAAATCTACAGGGGACAGAGTGTGTGTTACAACTGAAATGAGGCACATCCCTACTAATGCGTCACATAACGTGTCAGTTGACCTGTGGGGAACCCCAAATAGGACAATTCACAGTATTTTCTTGGTGCTGAGCTTTCTGTGTTCGTGTTCTCCTTGCCATGCATAATGCTTTCTATTTGCATTATAATTTAAATTCTTAGTTGAGGAGAGTCCTTTTTAAAATACTCTCACTCCAGTTTTGTAGATAATTGAGGTGGCAAATACGGAGTCCGTAATACCCAACCAGTCATTGAAGTGTTGAATTAAGGTTGGGATGGAGCAGTTGAGCATTCTGGTTGGGAGTCTGCTGATGCTTCTGTAATTCCCTGCCATCCCTGTGGTTTCTCCATCTGTCGGATGGGTGTATAACAACACTTATCTCACATGACCTTTGGATTGACGGAATGAAGCCTGTTTCCTGCCTCTTTCTTTGGCCAGCTATTGCAATGACGACATTTGAAACCCAAGTTTCTATCTAGGGGATGTGACAACTACATGTCATTAGGTAGTTTCTAATGAATGCACTGTTTAAAACGGTACCTTGCAGGACAGAAAAAATTGGGGTGCAATTGCAGGAGCTGAGGCTGAAAATAACTGAGAGTCAATTTATGACTGCCTTCCTAAGGAGTGTGTGTTTTACTCTGTCAGACACATTTGCTGAAATGTGTTCCACAGAACACTTGTGCCAGAGGATGTTAATATGTCTCGGGCAAACTTGGGAAATTAAGTCCAAGTTTACTTTAGGGTAGGCCTTGAATATGCTAACATGCATGGTGACTTCCTAAGAGGATGTTTTGTGTATTGTTGTTCTCAAACAAAGCCATATAACTTGGTAGTACATATATAACAGATATGAAAACTGTTCCAGCTTGGCACTTTCAGTTAATTCTAATATTCTGTATACACACAACACATCTCATATTCATTGCCTTACATCCTGTGTCTCTGGGAACTCGCAGGTTCAGTAAACTCAGTAGAATGAATGAAATACTTGAAGAGACCTCTAATTTCTCACCTAGAAAATGGGAAAACAGTAGTACGATTTTTAAAGGGTTGAAGAACTGGAGAAAAGTGATCACACAACATTTTGCGACCAAGACTATTTTTTTTTCAATTGAAGTCCAATTGGAACAGACTTGAAAATGAAAAAAAATAAATATAACAGATGGGGAAAGATATGTCAGGGATAGCTATCATTGTCTAGCTGTGTAATCTTTGCTTACTTTTGTTAAAGCTCATTTGTAAAGGGGATAATCACATCTTGAAGGGCTCATATAGTTTGTCTGGTGCTGTGACTCGGGATACATGGTGCTGTGGTTGGGAGCGCTGGCTGGGGGTCAGACTGCCTGGGTTTGAATCTCAGCCCTGCCCGTTACTACATGTGTGACACTAGCTTCGAGTGTGATTGTGACACTGGGCAATTTAAATTCATTCTGCCTCAGTTTTTCTCATCTGCAGAATGGGAATAATAAGTATGCTTATCTCAGAAGGCTGCGGTGAGGACTACAGGTACTATAAATGCTAGATATTTAAGAGAAGTTAACTGTTATCAGTACAGTTCAAATTTTCTACATAGTAGGAGAGAAAAGCTCCAGCCTGCCCTAATGAGTTCTTTCTAGACTATAGCTGCTTAGTCAATGTTTATATCCGATCCCCTTCCCTCCTAAAAAGTGGGTGTGCACAGCTCAAGCTCACTTTTTTTTCCTTTTAAAGATTTTGTATATTTTTTAGCAAGAAGGGAAGGGAAGGAGAAAGAGACAGGGAGAAACACGGATCGGTTGCCTCTTCCACATACCCCTAACTGGGGATCTGGCCGGCAACCCAGGCAAGTGCCCTGACTGGGTATCAAACTAGTGACCTTTGGGTTTGCAGGCCGGTGCTCAGTCCACTGACGCATGCCAGCTGGGGCCACACTCTTCACTTTTAAGCTCCCCCACAAAGTTCAACAGCTACTGGGATAGACCCTCTGTCCTCCTTCAAACCCATTTATTTATTTATTTTTAAATCCACCAATGTTTATGCTTTTTGTGGCCATTAATATACAAGTACATTGGTGTTTCCAGCTGGTTTGTAGTTGGGTCATTTTCTCTCTGGACTGCCTCCAATTTTTGCCCATTTAATTGACGCTCAGTTAAAATGCAGGGGAATTCTTGTCATGTAGAATTTGGTAGGACACAGAGAGGCAAACTGGAGACAAGAATTATACACCATTCTGCTTAAGGGTGAGTGATGAGAAAGGAGGACCCATATGATACTCCAAGACATTTGTTAGATGGTTTGCTAGTTACTACGACATACTGCTGTCATTTCATCATTTTAGTGACAATTTTAAAATAGTTTAAATAGACCTCTTGCATGGTTCCCACCATAACGTTTCTTTGATTGTATCCTTCATCCATGTTAATGCACTTTCCCCAAATCATTTGACCGTTTATATGGAATTCCTCAGGTAAGCCAGTGAGACATCAATAAGCCAGCAAAGATTTTTAAAAACAATCCGATATTCCCCAAAATGTTCCCTTCTACTTCATATCATGGGACTCTTAAGTGATGCATCAAGTAAAAGAGAAGGGATAGGAAAGACTCTGATAGGAAATCCAGTATTAATAACGGAGTCCAAGTTTTCTAATTACTTCAGAGAGAGCAGCAAAATCTATAATCAAACCAGTTAAGGCAGACTGAACACTTACAAATGACCTGCGTACTTTTAAACTCACTTATGATTTGTATTTCCTTTTGAGGACAGTTTTAAAGGTGAGCAAGATTTTCAAGTGGTCAAGATGTTTACATTAGGCTCTTCAATGGCTGTGAATATATATTGGAGAGCTATGATATTTTGGGTATATATCCAAAGGCAGAAGTTAGATTTAAGAGTGCTTTTCACATATACATAGCAAAGAGACGCTATCAACTGTGGAACTGAATATTTGCATACAAAATAAGGTCTGGATGCATAGAATTCTTGTGCTCAGCAGAAAAAGAGGGAGAGACAGCTATTATGCATGGTTTGTAGGTTATAGCCCTGTCAAGCTTATGTGAAAATGTCTCTCTCAAGAACCATTCTAGAGAGTCATTTTATACAAAGTGGGGCGTGTGTGCACACGTGCACACGCGTGTAGAAGGCTGCTCGTATAGGTTAGCTCGAATTTTTTTTGGAGCAGTCTAGTAAACTGAGTTCTATGTAAGTGGTAAGCTACTGCCAGAAAGAATTCCAACAGATTTCTAGCAGCAGGGCTGGGGTTAAAGATACATCTGACAAGAGGCTTCAAAGAGAGAAAAAAATCCACTTGTAATAAAAAGGACATCAAGCCTTAACTGTAAGAACTCTGAGAATCTTTTCTTTCCACCAATAAAACCACTTATGTTTGCAGTTTAATGTCCTAATTTAAGAAATGGAAGACGCTAAATTAATTTTTCATCGATATCCTGCTTCTCTGCCTGTTCCCATTGTCCCTCTAATGCAAACTGTGCACCGAACAATACAAGTCATGTCTCACTTCCACCAGACACCCTCATCAACCAAAAAGGGGATGCTTATTTTAGAGCCAAAAGAGAGTTCTAAATATTGTTAATTTTCAGCTGAGCATGAAAACTAATTCTTTAAGTTTCTTTGAGAGTACCAGTAAACTGGAGCGCAGTCATTGACGGAAAGAAAGAAACCAAAACCAAATGAAATCTTTTACTATTTCAGTTCATTTTAGTGGAAAATAAAATAAGAATTGGATTTTATCCAGGATTACAATGGTCCATAAAGTAAAAAGGCTTCTGGCCAATGTCAGTTTTCTCCTCATTAAGGATTATCTGAGGCCGTATTCCCGGGTCAACTTATTCTGCTTCTCTTAGATCTCTAGTCCCGCCCTAATTATGTCTATGTTTCAGGATCCGTGACACAGATTTAAACAGACCTGTGGTTCAATCTAAACAGAGACAGTGACCACACATGCCAATCTATTTGTCCAGAAAGTGGCAGAAATTCAACATTTAATTAATAAGACTTGATTCTGCCTAAATCTCTAATATAACTCACAGAATAAGGTTACTTTCAAAAGGATAAATGTTTGGATATTATTTTAAAAGTTCAATAACTGATCTTCCACTAAGGCCAACTATCTTACCCCTTAACAGTCTATTTATAATGAAAGTCAAAACAGAGATTCGGCCAGGTTCTCATTTCCTACATATCCCTTCAGTTGATAAGAAAAATCATCATTCTAAATGAAAACTCATTAATCAATCTTGCTCTTATCAGAACTGAATATTCCTGCCTCTACTAAGGTCAGAAAAATACCAACTTCAAATACCATAGAGAACACTCTATATGCTCCACAGTACTTTAAAAAACTCTGACTGACATTGATAACCTTGTTATTTACTTGAAGAAAATTTGCTTATCATTTCAAAAAATCCTGTAACACTTGTCTCTCTCTACTGTTTCTCGCCTTTCTGAAGACTTTAAGTAGAGGCAAGGCATTGGCAACAAAATAACCACAAGGTTCAATTTTCATCTGTTCAATGGAAAAGGTTTGCCTGTTATTTGACAAACAGGTCTAAATTATCTGAGAAGCAGAAATTACCCCCCTAACTTTATAAAATGCTATTTTCAGAAGGTATACTTAAAAACAGAATCTTTTAAAGTCAGTTTATAATACTGAAAAACAATATACACGTCATCTCATAATAACTTCACCTTTTGGTGGGGGGGAACCCTAACCGGCGCTGAAGTTCACTTTATATTGCTTCTTCAGATCTCTCATATCAACATATAACCACACATACCCTTCATGAAATGCTTCAGATGCCTGGCTCTGTGTTTACCCAAAGATTAAAAGGATGATCAGTTCATAGTCTCTACAGACAAAAGCATAAGTGGATTAAAAAAAAAACACACAGAAATGAAACTGTATGCAAATTCAGGCAACCATCCCAAACCCAGTGCAAAGAACGTGGCGCATCTCTGGAGTGGTCCCCAACGATCCCATCAGCCCCAGCTCTCCTTCTTCTCCGCGATGATGCACCAGTTGCCGTGATCGTTCCCAGAGCTCAGAATATGGAGCTCGGACACATTTTCCTTCAGCAGACTGCAGAGCTCACCTTCTCGGAATACGTGGTAGTAGCGCATGAAGGCTCTGGAATCCCAAACACCTGGCTGTGGTCCTTCAACAGAAATTGTGTCGTCTGGGATGGAATCTGTGGACTCGGCGGCAGAAATCCTCCTCGATATTTTACTCGCAGAAGGGTTCCCTTCTTCCAAGTCACCTGCAGCCACACACTTCTCATTAGTGTTGGTGCTATCCAGAAAATTCCCATCGCCATTTCTCCCAATTTCTCTTCGATGGTCCCCATTTAGATGCTCCACTGTGGCCGGTGCCCTCAGCCATTCCAAATGTTTCGGAGAAGTCTCCACAAACACGTCCTCATCTAAATTTTGCCCTCTTGTTGAAAATGGCTCTTGGTGATCTATGTCTAGACTAGGCTGTCTGGAAGGCTGGACGGGCACAGTGTTAGTGGCCCACACTTCAGTGCTTTTCAAGGGTCTCACCCTTTCAACCTGCTTCCTCAGAGCGAACTCGTCCAAAGATCTGGAGCAAAACCAGGAACGAAAAGATTTTCCTAACGTGGTGTAGAATCCGTTTTCTTCCCCACCTTCTTTAGAAATATTTGCACAACAGGTTCTAGCCATAACAGGTTCACAGTCCATGCTGTGGGACCGTTTTGAGTCACATCGCTCCTTAAAACAAACAGAGCAGCTACACACGGTGCAGGGAGGGCGGCAGGGATGGCTTTTTTCTGGAGGTCCACACTGCTTCTTCCTGCCAGGCTGGCTGGATTCGGAGAGGAGCTGGGAACACAGGTCCCTGTTCCATGGAACCAGCACGTCTTGCTTCTCAAAGCGCCGGTTCTTTTGTTCCATGGCCCAAACGTAAATCAGCAGCTGGCCTCCGGGAACCAAGACTCGCGCCATTTCTTTTATTGCTCTGATTCTTCTTTGTTTTGTAGAAAAATGATGTATAACTGAAAAAAGAAGAAACTAGATCTCAATGTGTGTACACATACATCCATGTAACAAGGATGCGATTTTGACATGCAGTAAAATCTTATTTCCTGCAGGGCAGGGTACATGGTAGAAATAGCACAGGGTTGGCTTTAGGAGAGACATGATTTTTAGATTTGATTCTTATAATTAGTAGGCAACTGATCTTGGGAAATTATTTTACTTCTATGGATTTTAAGTCTTTTCATCTATAATATGACACCTAGAATAATGTGTAAAATCTCTTCTAGTTCCACAGTCCTATGAATTTTGTTATCTAGAGGATGACAAAGCTAATGAATAAAAATTTGCAAGAAAGCACTAAGTTAGGTAAGTGTTCCTACTAGAATTCTATGAAGTAATTCATTGCTTTAATGAATAGTTGGTACTTCTAAAGCACTGATTAGTGTTCATAAAATTAATAAAGCAGACAGAAGTGGAGAAAAATGTTGAAGATTGTTTTTCTGTTTACAAGGCAAAAATAAGCCAGCCAAGCTCAAGTCCAGATGATTGCTTATCATTTTTAATAATGTAATATAAGATAGTTGTGTGTATTTTTTAAAAAGTCAGCTTCAGGTCATCCTTTTTACTTTCAGTCCCTGCAAAGCTAAAGTGAAAGTCAAGCAGGACTGTCTTTATCTAATCTTAAGTGTGTTGTTAGGCAACTTTTTATCACAGATATTTAGAAAGTGTTCATCTGTTAGCTCCTAGGGAAGCTTAGTCACAGGACTGTGTGAAGAAGAAACACCGATGTCTTTTTCCACCCCCGGGCCCGCCCCGTATCTCAGGTTGAGAGCTGGGCCCAAGGGAAGTCTGGACACTCCTGCCTGGGCACCAGAGTCACGAGGGAGCGAGAGAGGGACACACTGCTCCTGAGCCCTCACCTCGCTCCAGCTATTGGTAGTGGTTTCCGACAAATACATTCCTGGAGTCTACCCGGTACAGAGAGATAGTAACTATCCAGACTGAGATCATTGATTAAGCTGTCAATGGAAGACCAACCGACAGGCACCCTCTGTACTGCCATCAGCCAGGGGTTCGTTCCCCCGAGCAGCACACAAGCCCTGGGACCAGGCAGAGGCGTCAGGAGCCTGAGACAGGAGGCTAACGTGCGTGTGAAGAGCAGGACAGTGGTGTGTGCTGTCCTGCGTCCACCAGTGGCTGCCTGGAGGCCTGCGGCCAATCACTTCAGTTCACTAGGCCTTCGACTGTTGCTCTCAGTCCCATCCCCAAAGAAGGAGGGAGCCCTTTATGGGGTTAATTTGAAAGCATACATTTCCTCTCTTGAAATGTAAGGGTTTCTCAGCCTTGGCATTATTGGCATTTGGGGGCACATAATTCTTTGTTGCAGGAGCCCAGCCACTAGATGAGAGTAGTGCATACACACATGCTCAACTGTGACAAGAAAAGTCTCCCAACATTGACAAGTATCTCCTGAGGGTGGGGACAACATAATCCCGAGTTGAGAACCATTGGCACAAAGTGAACAGTTGACTCTACTTTAATATACTAGTGCCAAGGTTTTATGTAATTTTTGTTGAATCATTCTTTCTTTTTTTTTTTTTCTGGGCTGTTCTAAAAGTGGAAAGAGTTTTTGTTTTGTAATGTGTCAGTAAAACAGAAGAAATGTATAATTAGATATGATGCTTACCTCTCACATGATTAAGAGACATGGGAAAGCAAAAACATTTCTTCATGTTAGGATAAGCAAAAAGAATCCACATACAGAATTCTAAGTAGCAAAGTAAATGTATATGAACATAGGAGAGATGTTCTATTGAAATGTCTCATAGTTCTACATGGGAAACTTAGGAAAATAACTATCATGTTCATTTATAGCTACAGCTCATAAAGACATATGCTGTGTTTCCACTGAAGGGGACATTTTTAACCACACCACGATAACCAGTATGCTCCATTTCCTCTGCCTCAAGGCATGAGACTTCAGCTGGATGGGGAGAAGGACTTGGCCACGGATACGTGGAGCATTTCCCCCAAGTAGGAAAGCTGGTCAATATCCCACGCCCAGGACAGTGGCTCAACAGCCTCGCCTGGACGCAGGTGGCCTGGCAGACCCTGAGACTAACGTGAGCTAAAGAAGGGCGAAGGGTCCTCTTCTCTGACCTCTCCCCAGTTTCTAGGTCTTTAGGTGGAATGACTCAACCAAAAACTTCCTTTCCACTCAGGGTTCTAAGGACTGTCTAGTGTCACCGGATTCCACAAGAACCCTCCTCTTAGCGCTGACAGCCAAAACGGACTGAACAGTTTCAACTGCAAAAAAGTGTACTGTCACAGAGCGGGTTTCCATGGCAACCATCTCCTGCCAGTCCTAACCTGTTCCACGGTTATGGCATCCAGGCCTCACTATACGAAGATACAGTCCTCGTCTAATGCTGAATAAATCCACTTCTCTTCTATTTCAGGAGGGAGCAAAGAGTTTATGCTATGTTTTCATCTGGTCAGTTTTACATAGGTTCACCTTGCTTTAATAGAGCTTGTTATATTTAAATCGATTAATATTTTAAGTGTATTGGGGCAAATAGTTTGCTTTGCAAAAGATTTTTTGACTTGGCAGAAGAATTTGCCATAAGATTCCCTTAAGTAGCAAGTTTCCCAAGAATATTTAAATATGACTGACATATTAGGTTTCAGGAATACACGTACGGTGTAAAATGAGCCTTACCTGTGTAAATTTCAGGCATGGGTTTTTGCTGTTCTTTTAAAAAAAATTCTGGCATGTATATTTTATGGGCACACTTGCTGGGAGGATATGAGAAATATATTCCCTAGATTTATGAATAATCTCTGGCAGTTAGAGATCTGAGTAGCCTTATAAAAGCAATGCAATCTGGGACCAGGCGGGGTTTTCTTCCCCTGTGACTTGCATACCAGCAAGTGGCAGATTGGATGACGAATCTTTCCAGGTGGCATTACTCCCATAATATTCTGCTAACAAAGAGCACACTTATGGGCAGAAAAAGGTAATATGACTTCTAAAGATCTACTTCAGGTTGGAAGATCTGGCTACATTGCGATGTAACTAAGTACTCTTTTCCATGAGTAAAATTCTTCTAACACTTCCTTACTCATAAGTAAAAGAAATTGGAATGAATCATCAAAAAGAATACAGTAACAGTTTGAACGCTTAACTAGTTAAAACAATTATATGTACCCCCATAAAGACATCTGAGATTAGTCAAATAATTCAATCAGTGGAAAAATTTAAAAAATTAGATGAAATGAATTACATAGACCTTTCCACAAAGAGTAGGTGGTGGGTTGTAAGAATACCCTCAAACACGTAACTTTTTCTCATGGTGAAGAGTGAACGTGTGACCAGGCTGCCTTACCTCCTATGGAGATGATGGCATCGAAGCCCTGGTCCCTAAAGGGGAGATTAAGGTTGTCACATACCATGACTTCACATCCTCTACTCCGGGCAATCTCTACCAATGGCCTACAGTAGTCACAGCCCAGGATATGTACCTGGCTGTTCACTTTAAGATACTTTCCAGTCCCACAACCTGTAAGAGAAAAACTGTGTTACCCGCTATCCTTAACGGAGACTGAACATTGTACTGCCTGTCTCATAATAAGAACAGAAATAACTATATTAACTAACCAAGACAGAACACAACACGGGGGGAAGGTATGCACAGAAGCAAAAGAAAAGCCTTCAGACAGCTCTTACACATTTTCATATAGAATAGGAGATGGCTATAAGGGGACTCAATGGTAGCAGGGAAAAATACAATAAAGATAAAATTTAAGAAAAGAATAGAAGAGGGAATGGGAACAATAAATAGAATTTGTCAAATATTTAATGAAGTAATGTCCATAGGAAGGAGCAGGCTGGCACACACGTTAGCTGCCCCCTGGCAAGAAATGACAGGTCCTTAGCATCTCAGGGACAGTGTCCAGTCCCTTCATATAAGTTACCTTCACATATGTATTTCATCAGGTACAGATCTATATGTTATGGCATTTATTGTTGTGTTATCTCTCTAGATGGCCTTACTGCTTACTGGTTACATAAACTACTGTCAATGACTTTTAAATGGATATAAATAAAACAGGTTTTTCAAAAATCTTTAAATTTAATTTCAATGAGAAAAAGATTTCAACATCTTTTCACCTCCCCCTTTGTCAGAGGTAGGTTTTAAATGGTCTCACATGACTCTGTATACGACTCTCAGAAAGAACTTTTTTTTTCTTAAATAGACCATTTTCGACATTCACTTTCCAGTGGCAGAGACCCAAGTCATTCAACATTTACAGAGCGCAAAGACTGAGGTCAGTCCGATCTCACTGACATTAGAGTGAGGAAGATTGTAATATGAGTGAATAACATCCCCCAACAAAGCCTTCCACAATGCAGTGCCTGCTATATTCTAGCACACACATGCCATCTAATTCCTTTCCAGAAATATTTAAAGGTATCAACGCAGCTGATATTTGTACCTTTTGGAATTACCTATAGATTTGTATGCCTGAAATTTTGAAAATATATCTACCAGTATTCAAAGATAATTAGTTTGCTGCTTCTGAAATATGTCACACTTTTTAATAACTCCTCTTCAATAGGTGTTGCTTGAAATTATGAGGCACTAAAAGCATAATTGAGGCTCACTGATGCCAGCTGAGGGACTGTGAATAAAAAAATAACATTTCCAATGTTACTACTTCAATGTAAATGATTAGGGTTTTAGAAATATTTTAGATCTCATGGCCACTGTTCCTAAGAATGCTTATGAGAAAAAGTATCCAGTATTTAAGAATAATCACAGGGAAAATATGATCCACAGAGTGTTTTCAAATTGAAATCCTGCATGTTATAAAGATGATGGTCATATTTTAAGAAAAATAATCTTGTAAATCTATTACTTTCTTTTTATGGGCTCTGGGGCTACATTTAAAGACACAAAAAGAAAAATCATTTCCAAATGACTAATATTGGGCTGGCCAAAAAGTTTGTTTGGTTTTTTCCATATGATGGCTCTAGGAGTGCTTAGTTGTCTTTAACTTCATTTGAAACAATTTGGTTAGATTGTATTGTGGCAGCTGTCATATCAGCATGCATTAAAAAAAACTTATTAAAACTGGTGAATTTTTGTGTAGCCATTTTAATATTGAAGATGGAAGAAAATAAGCAACGTTCTTGGTGTATTATGCTTTAGTATTTCAAGAAAGATTAAAAATGCAACTGAAATGCAGCAAAGATTTGTGCAGCGCATGGAGAAGCTGCCGTGACTGATTGAACGTGTCAAAAGTGGCTTGCGAAGTATCTCCGTACTATTGACATTTTGACCAAATAATTCTTTGCCATGGGGCCGTCTTATTGCATTGGAAGACGTTTAGCAGGACACCTGGCCTCTACTCACTAGAAGCCAAGAGCAGGAGAGAGTTGACATACTCAATATATCCACATCAATAAAGCTATTGGTGAAAATGAAAAATGTGTCTTTTATTTTATAGAAAAAACCATATGGACTTTTTGGCCAACCTAATAAAAACAGATTTACAGATGATGAGTGCTAGAAGGAAGTGTTAGGAGAGCATCTGGTAATAATGAGGAAACTGAGATCTTTTTAAATCTCAACATCTCCTAAAAAAAATTCCAGCCCCCCTGGCACTCCTGGTTTATCTCAAATTCATTTCTATTGGTGTTCATTTTTAAGGATAGTAGTGCAAATCCAAATATGAGGTAGTTATCCACCTTCTAAGTGCACACACTGAGATGCTGGAGAGGGGTAGATTTTAACCTAATGAGGAAATCAAAAACAATGTCAAACCAGGACACCCCACTATTGTAAATGTGCAAGAAATAAGTCAGAAGGTTTTTGATACTGCAGCAAGCACTGGTGCACCAACCGTTCGGTCCTCTGCAAAACCTCATTAAATGCTAACCTTTCATGGTACTGAAGGGAGAGAGAGGGAAAGCGTCTCTCTGCATGCTTACATGCCTTCTGTTTTGTATTCTGCACCACACACATTCTGTGCATTTCTGTACTTTTTGTTGGTCATTTCACTGTTTAAAATTCAAGATCGTGCTGAAGCGCTGTCTCGGGTTCCTAAGGGCAGGAAGACTGAGATGGGCCTTATGGACAAAACACGTTATAAATATACTTTGTTTAGGCATCAAAGTTGTCTGTGAGTTCATTGTTAACAAATCAACAATATATAGTAAATGTGTTTCTGAACAGATACATATAGGTGGTACAAGGTTAGGGATTCACCAGCTGACAAAAATGTGAGCTGAGGTTCACAGGGACCTAGTCCTGTATTTCCCATACGGGCTACAACTCAGGATTCACTAATTCAGTGTCTGCGGCTACTTTATAGGACATAAATACTGGGAATAATGACAATCACCTGCATTTTCTTTTACGGTTTCTGACTTTTTATGGTATCATACATAGAAAGGCCTTTGGGCTCTGAGAGTATTTTTTATTCTTTTATTGTTTTTATTTTATCTTTTTTACTATTCTATTATTCTAATTTTATTATTTTAAAATAATCTAGTTGCCATCAGTCCTCTCATGATTTCATTTTCTTACACTTACATGGGTGCTTCATTTGGAATTTTGGATGTAAGGCATGAGAAAGTAGCCCACGTACATACTGTTGCTCTAAAGCCATGTGTTGAATAGCTCTTTTCCTTACAAATTGATTTTAAGGTCCTGGTACTTTGCTTAGATTATGGGTGCTAAGAGTTCCAAAGTCACTGTGTTTTCTGAAACCAGATTTACTTTTTGAAAAACTGGCATGATAGAGATATTTTCAGACTGTTTATTCCTATATGAAATGCATCACTTCCCCAAATTCCACACCACTAGCACCGTCTTTAATAAGCCAAGCGTCCTGGGCACGTGTCTGTTTCTCTTACCAGCATTCAGAGTGAATGTCAAATTAGACAGAGTTTCTAACTACAGACTGATGATTCTTGTGGGCGATCTTCATGCAATTGCTAGAAAGGAGTTTTAGGTGGGCCGGCCTTCGGTGGGAATTCCAGCATGTCCAGGATTCACGAAGCTGTGGTTCACCACTCAATTCAGAAACAAACTGAGCCAAAATCTTGTAGGCAAATCAGTGATTATGAAAACGTGATCTGCCCTGGCTGGTGTGGCTCAGTGGATTGAGCGCTAGCCTGTGAACCAAAGGGTTGCCAGTAAGATTCCCAGTGTAAGGCACAGGCCTGGGTTGCGGGCCAGGTCCCCAGTAGGGGGCGCGTGAGAGGCAACCACACAATGATGCTTCTATCCGTCTCTTTCTCCTTTTCTTCCCTTCCCCTCTGTCTAAAAAATAAATTTAAAAAAAAATTTTAAAAAACCCAAAGACATAATCTACCTAAAGGTAGGCCCTAATAATGACGCACCTACAGAATCTTCTGCGCAAGGCATGAGAGCCACTCGAGTTGAGCTCCCAGACCCTGCGTTTACCAACGTGAATATCTCAAAGTTTAAAAATAGTCAGTTTCACAAGCAGTCATCCCAGTCCCAGTTAATTCAATCCATGTCAGGTCAATTTTGTTGGAGGGTGTGCACAAAAGCTCTGAAAAGATCGCCAAGGTCTAAATGTGGATCTGAGGATGTTTTCTACGTTGGGATTTGATCGCGTGAATTTCTGCTGTCAAGAGAACGAGCCGGGTGCGGGCGTGCCAAGGCACCGTTTCAGTCTGCTGGTTGGAACGAAAATGAACCCAGAACGTGAAAAGGAAAGACGCGACGGGGTCTGTGTCACACGCCGCGCCCCGGCCCCGGGTTACCTATGTCGGCGACGAGGCTGCCCGGCTTCTGCTCCTGCAGGAACTGGCGGACGCGGGGCCAGGCCTTGCTGTGCAGGTCGCTGAAGTAGGGGGCGGTGCCCTCGTACACATCGTGCACGTGCAGCTTCTCCAGCTGGGCGGCCTCATGGTCCATCCTGGGGAGACAGGGCCGCCCCAAGACGGTGAAGGAGGAGGCAGGGTTCCTAAAGTGAGGAACCTACAACTGCCGAAGGTTGTGCTGAGCTTATGCTTTACTAGAGAAAAACCTTCACTGTCATCTCACCACGATCCTCCAAAGACTGGAAAATACATAATTTTTACCTGTAAATCTTCAGAAAGTAATGGTTTGGGAATGAGCTAGACAGTGCGATTTCCTATGCAAGAGCAGGTCTTAATTTTGGAAGCATATACCAACGGTTCACGGGGATAAAATCATTTTGGTGCCAAATAGGTTTTAAAAATTCATAATACGCATCTCTCCCCTCCAATCCAGTCAAAAGGCCCTGCTGATTCTACCTTTCTAATGTCGCTGGACCCCAACCATGTCGCTATATTTCTACCGTTTCTGTTTTAGAAGAGGTACTTGTTTCTTGCCTGAATTAGTTCAGCAGCCTGCAAACAGGTGTTTTTTGGCCCTTCAATCCTTTTCTTTAATTCTGCCACAAGTATTTTTATGAACCAGATCTAATCGTGTAGCTTCCTATCTTAGACTTCTTCAAAGACATTCCCTAGCATGCCTGATCACGTTCAGGTTCCTTAGGAGGGCATACAAGTCTCTTTCTGATCTGGCCTCAGCTTGCCTCTAGAAGCCATTCCTCACCATCCTCAATTCCTCACCAGCATCACATGAGCCTGTAACACTCAATGATCTGCGGTTTCTTGGGCGCCACAAACTCTCCAGCAGCCAGGGGCCTGCACAGACGTTGTGTTTATCCTGCCTAACTTCTACTCATTCTTGGCAAAGGCGTCACTTCTCCCAGGAAGCCTTCCCTGATCTTCCATGCAGGACAAGGGCAATCGGAAAGGAGCAGGAGAGGTACAAGAGCAGGTCTCAGAGGCCTCTGCTGACTGGGGGTTACTCTTTTCATCATTCTCCTGTGGCATGTGAGTGAGGGGTAGCCCAGGGAGCAGCTAGGTGCTCAGACTGTGGCTCTTTACAATCAGTATGAAAGTAAGTTCAATCAGATAAGAACCCATCTGGCCCTGCTGGTACAGATCGGCGAGTTCAGTTCTGGCCCTGGTGCTCTTGTTGAATCCCATGCATGCCTCTTGAAACTGGAAATATCCTGTTCCTCCGCAATTTTAGCATCTCATCCATTGCTGTCTGTTCCTTAAAACAATCATTATTACAATGATCACCAAATAATAACACAGTAATTCTTCCACATCCAGTTTTGCTTTCTGAAGTTTAAGTTACACATGATCAACCACCGTCTGAAAATATTAAATGGAAAATTCCAGAAATTAACAGTTCATAAGTTTCAAATGGTGCACTGTTCTGAGTAGCATGATGAAATCTGTTGCCGTCCCTCTATGTCCTGCCCAGGACACGAACCATCCCTTCTTTCAGCATACCCACCTCCCTTGTCTCATCACGAAGGTGTGGTACTCACATCATCACTAGGAGAAGGTGAGTGCAGTACAGTAAGATATTTTGAGAGAGAGGCCACATTCACATAACTTTTATTACAATATATTATTATAACTTGTAATTTTATGGTTATTAATCTCCCATAGTACCTAATTTATAAATTAGTTTCTCTATATACACATATACTTATGTACATATATATGTAAACTTCCTATAGGAAAAAAATATTGTGCATATAGTCTTTGGTATTATCAATGACTCCAGGCATCCACTGGGAGCATGGGGGAACAACTGTATTCTAATTTCATCATTCCTTTTATTGCAAGAAAGAGCCTTTCAGGATTTACTCTTAAAACAAATTAGCGGTAAGTTATCCTTAATTACCATGGACCTGCCCACGGTCCCAGCAAAAAATTTGGCAAACTCCTAACAGAGTACAAATCTCATTTGTGAAGTCTGTTAAAACTTCCACCCAAATTGAAACAGCTTATATTGCACCCTCAACTAGAATTTACAAAGTAAACATATGGCTGGCTATAACTGCCTACACACAAGAAAAACCAAAACACTGAGTGCTTTTCTTTTAAATCAAAATCTCAGTAGATTTAGTCTGTTTAAATTTTTCCCTTTAAGAAATCAGTCAGGCAATACAATTTCAAGAACCCTGGAACAAATAAATTTTACTTTATTGTACTTGCAAATGTTAAGTGGCAATCAACAAAAATGCAATTTCCTTCAGTCTGGTTCTAACTACAAGCTCAGAATTTGTAGTATCTGAACAACACCCTTTGGAGAACTTTCTCTAAGTCCTTCCCCAAATTGCCTGGCCTCCACCATAAACAAGTAACTTCAAAGAACTATTTTAAAGTGTGGGAACAATATAAATCCATTTTGTTTTTATTACATTTTATAGTTAAGATTATACTCTGCAGGATAAATAGCTGACCATGAAAATGATTTGTAGCTAGAACTATCCAATGTGACATTTTGATACTCTGTGGATTTAAATTTCCTGCAATATTTTCCATGTAAATTATATAAATATAAGCAAATTCCTCGTGAATTCAGGAATGTAATTAAGCTAGTAAGACTCATACTAAAATAAAAGTGCGTGGTTCAAGGAGAAGCCAGGGAGGCAGGGTTTGGTTTAGCCAGGCTTCCTAATCTGTGTGGAGTCAAATTGTGGGCCTTTGTAACTGATGCCTTTTTGGTCAGTCATGAGAGAAGGAAAGTAATTTGAAAGGTAAGGAGAAATCATACTAAGTGATGCTCTGAAAATTTGAAGACCCAATCTCGAGTTTATTTTGAGTGCAACAGAAAGAGGTTTTCAAAGTGGGGAAGGATTGAGGGAGGGAGAGGGGGAAGGGGAGAGGGGGAAGGGGGCAGGGGGAAGTGGTGGGGGGAAGGCAGAGACAAATGCATTTGGAAAAATTAATTAATTAATTAATAAGAAAATTTAAAAAAGAAAGAGGTTTTAAGACGGTAGGTGAGCTGGGGAGCAACATGATTGGATTAACAATTTTAAAAGATCACTCTAGGTATACCTAACTCTAAGGAGACTAGAGCATCTATTATCTTTATTCGTCCACCCAAGTTCGCCTTCCCCCTTCTCACAATTTGCACGGTGCCCTCCCTGGAATGGCATGTGACCTGGCCCTGGCCAATCAGGGTATCCCATATTCCTGGACACAGTCATTTTGATTGGTTCAGTGGTGGGCAGGTGATGAAAGGTGAGCCAATCAGAGTCCTTCCTCAAGATAGCTCAGAGTAGAGCTAAAGAAATGTTGGCCTCTCCTCGGCAGCACAGAGTGAGACGGATGTAAAGGTCAGGCTGCCAGTGGCCATCTTTCTTCCACGTGGGAAATGCCTGTTTTTAGGTGGAAGAAAATGAAGTCAGGAGAAGCAAACAGAGACGAGAGGCAAATGGAGAGGGAAAAAGGACATGGCAGCATCACGTTCTGCTCCCAGCACCTGGGCCTGGTCCTCGCGGTCCTGGGAGCTCCGCCTACCCTTCCCTGCTCAGACAGTCACTACTTCCCCCTGTCCACTTCCGCTTGCTGGGGTTCTGACCTTACCCTCACAGGAGTCCTCTCTGGTCAGCCGTACTCCCTCCACTTAGTGTTTTGTTTTATGGCTAGCCTTTACTCCTTGGAGTATAGAAGGAAGGGGAGCAAGTGATAGGAATCCAACAGCAGCGGTCAGTGGCTTGGTGTGTTTCTCGTGGACAGAGGAACAAAGAGGAGGACATCGGTAAGTGCTGCTTCTATCAACAGGGTCATCATCAAGAAGACACAGGTGTCTGGTTTTCCTCTTCTGGCATGTGCCACCCAATCTGATTCGGGCAAAGCCTTGTGACTTGCTTTGGCCATTAAATGTGACATAAAAAAGATGTGGATTGCTTCTGGGCAGAAGCTTTATGAGCTAATGTGTGGCTCTCCAACTGTCCCTGGAGTCCTGGAAGCATCTGCTTAGGTCCCTGAGTGACTGCTCTTGATGGACAGACAGCACAGGTGCTTTAAGCCACAAAAAGGGGGACAGAGGAGTAAATTGTTCATTATAAGAAATGTTAAATATCTATATAGTGAAAGATAAAAACCTTCAATCATATTATATTAGAATCTGATAACTTGTTACTCTGTGAGTTTGTTCTATTTTTCTCTTTATATTAACATTTTCTCTTTTCTGTAGCTATATTATTTAAAAATTGGGAGAAAACTGAATACAGTTCTGTATCCCACATTTTTAAACTGAATTTATTATGGTGAGCCAAGAAAGAATGTTGCCTGTGGCCTTCTCCAGTATTCACAAACAAATCTAATCTGCTAATCCTTAAATTCTACAGGACTTGAAATGTTTCATATTCTACAAAATGTTATAGTGGAATAAGTACTTCCACCAGATTCTAAACTTTTAAAGAAGAAACATTTCATATACTTCTTTGTTTAGTCCATTGTATCTAGCACTAGGCTTCTATATAATAGGTCTAACCATGGTTTTAATGGATAAATGAAAAATGAAACTCCTGCCATTTGAACAATATTTTATTTTTAAGTTTTATTTAGGAATAATTGACATTTAACAAACTGCACATATTTAAAGTGTGCAGTTTGATAAGTTTTCATAACTGTACAGACCTGGGAAAGCATGAAGACAATTAAGACAGTGAACATATCCATCACCCACAAAGTTCCCTTGACCCTCTGTAGGTCATCCTTCCCACCTTTCAATCTTTCTTAAGGTGACGTTTCAAGGCCAGAAACAGGGTTAGATGGGTGCGCATTGAGGACCATATTCAACAGTCGCAGTTTCAAATGCAACTTTGATATCTGATGTGAATATAATACAATGAAAACGTTTTTAATGATCATTGTAAAGCCACGCACGCATGTACAAACAGTAAAAATATTCAGAGGAGCCGAAAAGTCTTCCAAAGGAAAGATTTCCCCATTGTTTCGGGGGAAACTCTGAGGAGGCCTCGTTTTGTCTCCTGTGGTGGCTCCTTGTCCCCAGGGAGGAGTCAAGCCTGGCCCGTGTCCTCGGGACAGTGCCTGCGAGTTCGCACAGAGATGGGGGTAGTGGGTACGACGAGCACAGCCCTATCACCGGAGGGACTTCTCTTGCTACATCATATCCTGACTTTCGGCACCACGATTTTTCTCTGTAGTCAGGTCTCCATCTTTTGACTCCATGGAAAACACACTTGTCTTTTAAATACGGGTCTCCCCCTACCTACCAACTACTTCTGTAATTAAAACCTCTTGTTATCAGGTAATAATACAACAGCCCCTGTAGGGGAAAAGAGAGAACGACTGCATGACCTTGGAGTAGGTTAAGATTTCTTAAACATGTCACATAAGCAGTGACGTTCAAAGGGAAAATAAAAAAAGATTAGACAATATTAAAATCATGACATTATGAAGAGAATGAAAATGCAACCCCAGGGACCCGCTGCACGTAGAAGAAAGGACTCTGTGGGAGGTCTCCGGCGACGGGACGCCCTGCGTCGGCAAGGTCCCGCGGCAGCCAAGCCAGCCTGGGGGAAGATCAGAGCCGTTTGCTCTGCTGCCATCTCGGTCACCTCGCCATCTTTCTTTTCGTATTGCCACAACCTAGTCTCCAAGCTGTTGTTACCGCTTTCTGTTTGGTGTTTCTGTCCCCCTTGCCTTCTTCCCGCCCCCTACCTTTGCCACCTGTGGTACACCCATAATGCTGGGAGCCTGCTATGCTCCTGCCCCGGTCACACTCATGCACCCGGATAGTAAAAGGTGGCTGCAGAGACCGCACAGCATACGGGCTGTTCCTGGCTTGATGGCTGTAACTTGTCATTTTTCCTCCACGAACCCCACAAAAGCAGTTTAGAATGGCTCCTTCATGCCAATGCTGGATGATTTTCCTCAATGTTCCGTTTGATAATAACACTCCCTCGCTGAAAACCCTTTAGGGGAACTCTCCTCTCTGTGGGATCAAGCTTACATCCCTCAGTCTGGCATTCAAAACCCTCCTGGACCTGGTCCCGGTCCACCTTTCCAGCCTTATGTCCGGTAACTACCATGACTTGAACACCAAAGAACCTACTCACCTTGCCCTGAGCGGGCCTTCCATACAGCGCCTTACTGAGGTCTTCGCTGAAGCCAGCAGGCTGTTTGCTCTCATAGGAAATGCTCTCCTGTCACCTACACCCCCAAAAAATCTTACTTGGCCTTCAAAGTCTAGCTTCTTCCTCCTCCTCCTCCCTAAAGACTTCATGGATAACTACAGATAAAAATAACCTCTGCCAGTATTTCTGTATATGGCATATTTGTTATCTCTGTCACTTCTCAGGCATTTCTTCTGGTACCATCTGGAACTCGCAGTTTTGTCTATGTTCCCAACTAGATTAGAAGCTATGGGAGGCGGAGGGCAGGCACTGGACACAGGGCGGTCACTCAGTAATTTACTGACGAACTGGTGAGTCCGTGAGCTGTTGCCTTCACATCCTCAGCAAGACAACAGCGCTGTCCTCCCGACAACCTGGTCCTCGAGTCTTAGGCCATAAACCCTAAACACGCCGCTGGGGGCCGACAGCCACTCAGGAAAGCAGGGCTCAGGCGAGCTCCCCGGTGTGTTTTTTAGTTCCCGGTTTCCTGCCCTGTATTTCCTGTTTGGAGATGTAGCCTAGGTACACAGTAGTCCCAGTTTTATAACTAAAAACAAAAATAAATATCATAAATTGCTTTCCTGTTATAAATGCCACAGAAGACACGGTATTTAAAATAGAGCACAAAACTCTGCTTTAAATTTTAAAGATGTACTTGAATGATAATTCTAGAGTAAAAATACAAGTTAGTCAGGAGAGTTCAAAGAATTTACTTCCACTTAATCATAAAATACATAGGGCTTTTTTTTTTTTAGTTTTTAATATGTGATTCTTCAAACTTAACATCTACATATTACTGTCAAGTACAAATTATACTGTAAACCTTTGTATAATAAAAACCGTTGTTTAACAATGCTTTTTAAAGCATCCTAGAAAAGCATTTTGCACCTCTAAAAAAATCCTAAGTCCAGTATATTTTTTGTAATTTTAACTTACTCTGTCCAACTGTTCTCAAATTCTTTTTTCCATCGAGTGCAAAAATAGCAACTTACTTTGTTTTTCTTTTGAATATTTCATTTTTGTTGTATTTTTTCCACTACCATTTATCCCATTTATGCTCCCCTCTCCCACCCCCCACGCCCGTCACACACTGTTGCCCGTGAGTTCTTTTCCTTTTTTGCTCCATCCCTCCAACCCCTCACCCCCTACCCCCAGCGCTGTCAGCCTGCTCTCTACCTGTGAGTCTGCCCCAACTTACTTCATATCATTGTCATAAAATTATAGGAATTGGGGCTAATTAGGTTTACTGAACATGCACCGTGCTCCAAACCCTCATATTATTTAAGCTGCAGTAATAGCTGAAAGCAACTAACCTGAGTCATCTTGTGATTACAGGAAAATTACTTCTTGTCTTTGCGATTGATGGCAGTTTCCACTTGCAGAGAGTGACAGTCGTTGCTCATGACCTTCTCAATATGTAATGTACATGAAAAGCCTGAGCGTGCAATCAAAGAGTGAGGTCCTTCGCAGGACGGACCACTCTGCAGGAGTCTTTGCAGAAAATGCAGGCCTTGTTAGGGGAAAAACGAAACAGTAAATGTCACTTGACATAATAAAATGGTTCATCCAGCTACAGCCCAGGATGACCTCTGCCCCTAGCCACATATTACCCAGAGAAGAAGTGATTAGAAAGAACTGTTCTTATGTGGAGTGAACGCCAGAACTGTAAGAGCAATTCCTGAATTAATTCCTAAGCTTTCTGTAACATGTACAGTACTCCTCCCCAAAATTAAATCAAATGGTTTCATTTTGTTCTTGGAAAAATTACAAGCACAGGGAGTAACTCAAAATACAGCAGCTTAATTAAGTGTACTACCTATTTAAGACACTACTACGAAATTGTGCTAAGTCATTCCAGTACTGCTTCATATTTGTTCACACTAGTAGCTACTTCCATGTCACTCTGACAAGTGCCCCTATTCTTCTTGTCCTCTTTTATTTTTTTTCATTTTTCATAATAGAGTGGGTCTGTCATGAAACCTGTCAAAAAGCTCTTAGATACCAAAAAAAAAAAAAGGACTTTGTATGCCAAAAAAGCACTTTGTAATGCAGAGGTCTTGGCGGGTACAAAATGAGGTCTACAGAGATGCCTGGTGAGTAGTAAGAACCCATCCTATAAAACCTCAGGCCGGATCCCTCATCTGTAAATAAGGCAAATGGAGCCTAATCTGATCACAGCGCTCAACTGTCTTTCCTCGACTTCATGTCCTTTGTGTGTGTACCTCACTGCCCCAGACTGTACCTCTTATTATGTACAATGATTCTCAGGATCGTGGAGGGGTGCATATGGTTTTCCCCAACTTGCCCCTGTCCCCCACCTTTCCCCAATCTGGGTCTCTATTTAAGAATCAATGATCTCGCTGTGCTTTGAAAAGCTCTCTGGTCTTTGGAATATACATATTCCTTTAGAGATCCCAGCCATTTCTCAACATATGCAGGTGTATGATTTGCACCACTGAGAGCCACAAAGTCTGACTTTTGGGGAAGAATGTTTAAGAAGGGTCTTGAAGGAGCTGTTAGTCAAAAGATCTCATCTTTCCTCATACACTTTCAGGGCTTGATCTAATCATAAAGAAGGGACGTTTGTTTACTTGTCCTAAAACTGAAGGCTCTCCTTCGCAATCACTCTTCCATGGCCTGACCTAGGCGTTCCACTGTCTCCAGCCAACTCGGCGGTCTGTGCACCTTTCCTTCTGGCATCGGTGCCTAAATGAATTAGCTGCCCTGAGAGGCTGGCATCCAAGCTGAAGCTCAGGAAACAGTGGAGGTGAGTCAGGGAAAGGTGGTGTGGGTGGCTCTAAGCATAGGAAAGAACATATGCAAAAAAAGAAAAACTTCAAGCAGATTGACAACAACAATAGGAAATCACAACACCCAAACATATATTAATTATTTACTCTCAACCAGTCCATTTTAAGTATTTGACATATATTAGATCATTACGTCTACCAAATTATTATATGAAATAGGAACTACTGTGCCCCCTATTTTACAGATAAGAAAATAAAGCAGAGAGAACATTCCAAGGTCACGTAGCTAGTAAGTGGTGGAGGTAGGATTTGAACCCAGAAAATTGACTCTAGAGTTTACCCGTATATTCTTAAATATACAGGTGGTGGGGAGGGAAGGAGGACGAGAAAAGAGTGGTGCTACAATAGCCTGGAAGAGAAGGTGGAAGGCAGACCACATAGGGCCTAGTTTAGCAGTCTAAGATGTTTGGATTTTATCCTGAACATAATGGGGCACCACTGAATTGTTTTACCAAGAGAAGTGACAAAATTTGATTTGGGTTTTGAAAATCTTCTCTGGCAATGGTGTAGACTGATTTCACCTAGCCAGGTTCACAATGAAGACAGAGAAAGGACCTGGTTTAATACTTTAGACAAAGTATGATCTTAAGCTTTCTAGGACAAATACAAGAAATACTAAGGAGAAAAGATCAAATTAATAGGAATGGATGACTGATGAAGACTTAAGGCAAAGAGCACACCGAAGAGGACGCAGTGATAATAATAAGCCTGACACAGTAAGATGTACCGCCATCCTCAAATAAAGTGGTAGAGAGAATAAAAGGCAAACAGAAGGAAACTTTGGTAATGACCGTATATAAACTCTCATAAATCCTTCCTCTGGAATGCACATGAATATATCAAATAAAGTTACTTAAGATTTATGCCTCTGCAGGAAAGAGGATATAAGAAAGGATAGATATTGGTAACTGACTTTGAAAGGCCATAGTAATCAGTAAACATATCTTGTATAATGGCATGACTATTTGTATACATTCTTTATGTTCTGTAATTGATTTAAGCATTTGCCAGAGAGGAATAATATATTTTATGATCACGGAGTCTTTGCTTAGTATTTCAGTTTACAGATTGCTTAATAAATGTCTACTCTATGAATAGGCGAAGAAAGGAACAGAGGAATTAAAAAGATGGCCCTTTACATGGTGTTATTGTTCACCATCAGAGGGGACACATCAGAGAGAAGGTTCAGGCTTGTATATGTTGTTTCTATGGTATCTGAAGGACAACAAAGTAAGGTAAATATGAAGCCCAGGAGAACAGGTTGGACTAGAGATCATTGAAAAATCATCATTATGCTAGGATTTGGCAGTTAGGTCCATGGGAATAGATTAAATGTACAATGATTGTGCAGAGTAAGAAAAGGAATGAGGTTAGAAAATCAAGGATCACCAGTGTTTAACCCCCATACATTAGTATTAGAGGACAGGTAGCCGTGTGCAGCTATTAGAGCTCTACCATCATTAAATTAAATTCAAGAAACATGGACTGAGCACTGGCTGGGCAGCAGCTGCTTTGGCAGGTAGGAGAGGAGCGATGGATGGGCGGTCCCCTCTCTCAAGAAGCTACAGACAAATACAAGAGTCATGACAAGAATGACAAGAGTAGGTAGCAAGCATATGATTTATTGAGACGAAAGTAAAGACAGCAAGCAATATTAGCATTTGTAATTTGGAGTGATACTTTGGGTATTATCCTCTCTAATGAGGCAAGTGAAACAAGGTGCTGTTCTAATGAATATTCCCTCTGCTACACAGAACTCCTTCATGATACACCAGAGAGATTATAGGAGAAATGGTAGCAAAGGAACACCTGAAATTTCTGATCAAAATCCTATGTGTAGCCACCGGGCTTCTAAAGAACAAAATACTCGTATGTGGCCCTGGGACAATATGAGCCTCTCTGGATTCCCAACAGAGACCAACAGGTTACCTCGGAGTAAACGTATGTTGTAAGAGAGTGGGAAAAATAAGGGGAGTTTATCCTAAGGGAAAGGGATCAAATATTTCTCCCAAATACTTTGTTTTTCCTGGAAATTTGAAGGACTATGTATCTATGTTAAATTCATTTAAGAGTAAGATATTACCTTCACGATCTAAACGCAGGAAATGAAAGTGATACCACCTTGGTGGGGAGTGGAGTGTGTGTTCACGTGCATGGTGACAGAAGGGAAATACAAAACACAGGGGACCAGAACTTGCAGCGCAATATTGGTGATGAGCTGTCATCCAAGGTGGCTCCTTCCCAGGCAGAGGCTCAGCCCCGTTCTTTGTGACTCCATTACAAGGCATTGTGATGTTTTAAAAATAAATACTTGTTTTTTAAATTATTTTTTAAAAGATTTTATCTATTTATTTTTAGAGAAGAGAAAGAGGGAGAGAAACATCAATGTGTGGCTGTATCTCCCGCACCCCCTACTGGGGACCTGGCCAGCAATCCAGGCACATGCCCTACACTGGGAATCGAACTTGCAACCCTTTGGTTCACAGGCCAGTGCTCAATCCACTGAGCTGCACCAGGTAGGGTACATTGTGATTTTGTACATAAGAGAGGGTCAGAAAAGAACAAGGAAATTCAATACATGGGATTCAAGATGTCAAGGTGTCAATTTGAACAAACTAGCTCTTGGTCTATGTTAAGATAAAGGTCACAGGATCCCCAGCACAGCAGTTGGGAGAAGACCCTCTTAGCATGAAGGGCAGCACCAGAGGGGAGGCAGAACCTCACTGTCCTCCTTCCTCTTAGGAAAGAAGGTTCCGGCAGGTTGGGTGACAAGGAATAATACAGACATATTACTGTCAAATGACTGTTCAAGAGGGATCATGAAGACTATAGTGGTCCACTACGACCCTATCAATTATGTGATGATTTCCTAAGAATGAAAGGGAGAAATGTGAGGATGAATTATGTATTAGTGTAGTTTCAAGTGGTGTGCCACAGAAATGTTTAAACCATGCAATTCCTGACTATTTAGTTAGGGGCACTGACCTCTCTTCCATTAGCTTGTCAAATAAAAGAATGACAACAGCTAACACAATAGCCATCTGGAGTGAATGCCGTGTTGACTCAAGAATACATAGGTCATACAGTAGAGCTGCATCTTATTGGTCATGTCACATAATAAGATTGTGTCTGATTGGTTAATTCTTGGTACCAGAAATCCTTATATATAAGTATTGGTACATGATTTAAAAAAATTTTTTTTTAAAGATTTTATTTATTTTTAGAGAGAGGGGAAGGAAGGGAGAAACAGAGGGAGAGATATCGATGAGAAAGAGAAACATCAATTGGATGCGTCTTGCTTGCCCCCCACCAGGGACCTGGCCCGCAACCCAGGCGTATGCCCCCACCAGCAATCGAACTGGCAACCTCCCGGTTCGCAGGCCGGTGCTCAATCCACTGGGCCACACCAGCCAGGGCAGCACTGATTTTTCAAAAAGTCACTTTGGAGCAAAAATGGTAGGTAATTACTATTATTATCTTTTGTAAATCAATAAAAATTATGCCTATTTTTTTATCAGATTGGCAAAATGTATTTTTTGGTGTGCTGCAGAATTTTAGTAATTAGTTTATGGGTGGCATGAGATGAAAAAGGTTGAAAATAGCTGGTGTAGAACATAAAGTGTTTATAATGCAATTAACCCAAAAGAGATGCTCATGGGGTTATTACTAAAAAAAAGTCTGGCTGTATATTTGAGGTTCA